AAGGTAAGTACTAAGATAATAGATTTATGTTTTCCAAAAGGTAACGGGGAAAATGTTTTATAAAATATTTTCAGTCAATAAAGGGGTAAAACAAAGAAAAAAGATATTTTAAAAGTTAAGTGAATAACACAAGACAGCATAAATGAGTTGAAATATATCAATCACAATAAATGTAAATGGGCGAAAGTCAGACTGTCAAACTATATTTTTCATATCCAGCCATATTCTATTTATGAGAGATGAGAGGATTGAAAATACTGTATTAAAATGGCAATATTGAGATCGGACTGAAATGTATCTGTAAGGAAGGGCTCTTCACTGTGCCTCCAGAACACAGGGTGCGACGGGGTGCCACCTGGGCGGCGCTGGGGTAGGGCCAGAGCCGAGCTCTGGGCCACACAGTGTCTCGTGCAAGGTCGAGGTTTCCTGCGCTGAAGGGCGCATCCTGCAGCACTTGCCGGAATCCACCCATACAGATGAGACTGTTGCCCGGAAGAAGGTGCGGATGGACAAAGAGAAAGACGGCTTTCCCACCAGCAGCCTGAGTGAGATTATACTGCTCTTGCGTCTTCTTCATCCCAACATTGTGGAACTGAAGGAGGTGGTTGTGGGCAACCACCAGGAGAGCATCTTCCTGGTGATGGGTTACTGTGAGCAAGATCTGGCTAGCCTCCTGGAGAACATGCCAACACCCTTTTCTGAGGCCCGGGTTAAATGCATCATGCTACAGGTGCTTCGGGGCCTTCAGTACCTGCACAGGAACTTCATCATCCACGGGGACCTGAAGGTATCCAACTTGCTCATGGCGGATAAGGGCTGTGTACAGACAGCGGATTTGGGCCTGGCTTGGGCCTATGGTGTCCCAGTAAAGCCAATGACCCTCCAAGGTTGTTACCCTCTGGTACCAAGCCCCAGAGCTGCTGCTGGGACTCTACCAGACTACCAGTGTTGACATGTGGGCCGTTGGCTGCATCCTGTCAGAGCTGCTGGTCCATAAGCCCCTTCTCCCTGGCACTTCCGAGATCCACCAGATTGACTTGATCGTACAGCTCCTGGGGACACCCAGTGAGAATATCTGGCGGGGCTTCTCCAAGCTGAGGCTGGCGGGCCAGTACAGCTTGAGGAAACAGCCTTACAACAATCTCAAGCACAAGTTCCGTGGCTCTCAGAGGCTGAACTTCGTCTGCTCAGTTTCCTCTTCATGTATGACCCTAAGAAACGGGCAACAACAGGGGACTGCCTGGAGAGCTCCTACTTCAAGGAGAAGCCCCTACCCTGTGAACCAGAGCTCATGCCTACCTTCCCCCACCACCGCAATAAGCATGCTGCCCCAGCTGTCGTGGAAGGGCAGAGCAAACGATGTAAGTCCTGATTGTGGGCCCAGCACAGCCCTACACCTCCTGGTGGATCATCAGTCAACAGACCTGCGAGGGCCCTTGCAGGCCGGACACAACTCCAGGGTCCTGTACCTTCCGTTCTTCAGCTAACCATCCTGCTTCTCAGCTGACTTCTTCCTGCTGTTTTATCAGTGCACAGATGCAGGCAGCGTGTAGAGGGTTGATGGTGGGTGGGGATACAGAGAGGCTGGGCTATTGTAGCACCATCCGGTGGTGGTCTGTTATTCCTGGTGGCTTTGTCTGGTAATGAGTCATATTAGTGGTGAAATTCCCACTGGCCCCTCAGTATAGTCTTGAAATTGGGGCTGCCACTAGCCTAGATTGAACAGGGCTGGGAGACCACTGTTCCTCCTTAGCCACTAGGAGCTACCCAGGACAGACAGGCTGTAGTAACCCTGGGCAGGGCTGGTGGGTCTTCAGATGAGGAGGAAGTGTAGGTGGGGCCCTAAGATACTTCTGAGATTCCTAGAAAAAGAGCTTGCTGATGTTGTTGATACTGATGCCCAGGGAGAGAAGTGGCAGGCTCCCATTCCAGGGATAGAGATAAAAAGCCTCCCAATGACAAAAATAAAAGAAATAAAATAAAATAAAATGGCAATATTAAAATGCTGATCAATAGAAATCACAGTTATATTAATACAGATAAATTAATGTTATTTGGGTTTTTTACATTTTTTAATTTTTTATTGAATTTTTGTGTATTTTATGCATAAAATGATCTTTATACCTCCTTCCCCTTCCCCTTTGGCACCCTCCCATAGCCCCCTCCCCCACTGGAGTTCATACACTCTGTCATTTGTAGTAAGGCATTAGTGTTCTCTTCATCCCTTGTTCTATGTTCCATGAGTCTTAGGAATAGAGGTTGCAGCCTAAATGTGCCACTTAGGCTTGGGCAATTCACAGAGAATCTCTGTGTGTGACCAGTAGTGTAACTGTAATAATCTCTGTCTGTTGAAAAAGAAGCTACTTTGATTTGTGGTGACTGGGACACTTGCCTGTAAATTTAAGGATCCACATTTTGCACATAGTAAGAAATTACATTTGTCTAAGGATATGAGAGCCTTGGGGTTTTCTCTGAGATCTGTGACCTCTCCAGCTAGGTATATTTGGCTAGGTTTGCAGTACTAGACATGAGTTTCCTCCCATTGAGTGGACTTTAAGTCCAAATAGGTAGCTGTTGATTACCCCCAAGATAAAAGTACCACTACTGCACCAATGTTGTTTGCTCTGCAGGTCATTGATGTGGTTCTTAAGCCTTGAAGCTAGGGTTGGACCATCAGCTGATGTTCTCCTTCACCAGCTTGTGTAGTGCTCACCAAAGCTATGAGAGCTAGCCTTCAGGAGAGGTGGCTTCCAGAAAGAGGAGACATAAATAAAGCCTAATTAGTATTAAAAAAAAAAAAAAACACAGGGAATGGTATTAGTCCAAAAACCTACTGAAAAATTACACATAAAATAACCCTACATGAGCCTGTGAGTATAGCTGAAGGCTACATAACAATGTTAAGTTTCTAAAAAATATTTTAATTATTTTTATTTTAAACATGTATGAGTGTATTGCCTGCATGAATGTAAGTGCATCCATGCCATGCAGTGCCCACGGAGGTCGGAAGAGGGCATCAGATTCCCCTGGAACCAGAGTTATAGATAGTTGTTAGCTACCATGTGGGTGCTGCGACCAAACTTGGTCCTCTACAAGAACAGTCAGTACTCTTAATTGCTGACCCATCTCTCCAGCCCCAATGTTAAGCTTTTTTAAATATCAGGGAGTCACTAAATAATGATGAAAAAATAATTGGGAAAAAATAATTCCAATCTTGTATGAACTAATAAAATAGCACCAAATATATAAACCGAATTTGGCAGAATTCCAAGGAGCAATTGACAAACCCACATAGTGTAAATTTTTACATATTTATATGAAACGTCTACATCAAGGAGAGTAGAAATTAACACAGGTATAGAGGATCTGGCAGCACAGTGATAGCTTGGTATTTTTGCTTTTTGTTTTTAGATGGAGTGTCTCCATGTATCCCAGAACCTTACTGTGTATTCCAGACTGTCCTCCAACTCTTGATCCTCCTGCTTCTGCCTCCCAAGTGCTGGGATTACAGTTGTCCTACCATATCCAGCAACAGTTGTTTAATGAAAATAGATGGAGCTTTCGATTAAGAATAAAACTAACATATATAGTACATTTATTTTAGAACATGTCTGAAATGGTATCTATAAAACTGACCTTGTCGGGGCTGGAGAGATGGCTGAGTGGTTAAGAGCACTGGCTGTTCTTGCAGAGGACTTGGTTTGAATTCCAGCACCCACACAGCAGCTAACAATCGTCTGTAAATCCAGTTTCAGGGGTTCCAAAGCCCTCTTCTGTCCTCTGTGAGCACTGCAAGACACGAGTGCATTTACGTACATGCAAACATAACACTCATACACATAAAATTAAAATTAATTAATTAAAACTGACCTGTAATAGAAGTTAGCAAATAAGTCTTGACATATTTCAAAGACTCCATGTATTTATATAGCATATTTATTAACTAAATGCAATTAGCTTGAAATAAATAAAGGCTCAGTGGTTGAGAATGCTTGCTGTTTTTTCAGAGGACCCAAGTTCAGTTCCCAGCACCCACAGCAGGCAACTCACAACTACCTCCAGGGGATTCAGTGCCCTCTTCTGGCCTCTGCAGGTACCTGCAGGTACCTGTATACATGTGGCATATGTATACACACACACACACACACACACACACACACACACATGCACAAAATAAATCTTTAAAAAATAAGTAAAATTTTTAAAAATCAATTTTAAGAATAAACACCTATTTCTGGTTTGTTGATATAGAAAAAAACAAAATAATGAAACTAATAAAATCATCATGAACTTCAACAATAATGCTGATGGTCACAATTTACAGAATGTGGAAATTGGGGATCATTGACACTTTCCTTCCTCTCTCCCTTACACAGTTCTTTTATTTATATATTTGCTTGATAAATGTTTAACCTGGCATTGTGGAAATCAAACGGATGGAGGCTGCACAACCCTCCAGCCCCTGTGAACAGCTGTAGCTGTTAACAGTTCCAAAATGGAAATCCTGAGCTAATCTGGTCTGTTTTGCAACTGCCGATCTGCAAAGGCTGCCCAGAACTTAAATTCTCTTGCAATCAGAACACTGAAGGCTGTAAATCTCCCACTGATTATGGTCAGAAGTATAGACAATTGCCCCCTGCTCAAAGAGATGCCGGTACAGGAGTCCTGCGAATCCCTGGGTAGTTTCTTGAACACAGCATCCCTGGGTAGTTTCTTGTCTTCTTAGCTTTCTATCCCAAATTGTGTTTTCTATTCTCTCTTTTGATAGGAAAAGATTCCACCACATTACCACACTCCCTCCACTAGAAACTAAGAAATCTCACAGTATCAAAAGATTAGATAGATAGACAAGAGAGAGGGGGAGAGAGAGAAAGAGAAAGGATAGATGACAGAAGATGATAGATGATAGAAAGAGAGAGAGATAGATGATAGATGATAGATAGATAGATAGATGATAGATAGATAGATAGATAGATAGATAGATAGATAGATAGATAGATAGATAGACAGATAGATAGATAGATGATAGATAGTATTTGCATAGTAGATTCAGGATGGCTCTGTCTTTAGTTCTTTCATCTTTCTGAGTTGTCCCAGGTTAGCAGTTTGTGTCAAAAAAGTTGTCCTCCACATTTCTCAGCATTGGTTAACTCCTATCTTATAAAGAGCTCGAGTCTTGTTTCCTCACAGTGGGAGGCTCATTTCTCAATCTCAGGGTTGAATTTTAACAACATAGAACAGTGGGTGCATTTTAAATCAGACCTAAGCCCTGGTACTTGTTTCTTCTCAACTGCAACACTTGCTGTACTTTATTTATTAGATTTCCTGATTATGTAAGACATTTTAATTACAGCGCTATCCTAGACTATATTAGATATGACTCTTCTTCTGGTTAAAAATAGTGTATTTGAGACTGACTTCATAGATGCTGTATCTGGGCAGATAATACTGTCAGGGAGTTGCGAACCAGGAAAGAAATACATCTGCTGATCATTGCAACCCGCTGTGCAGTCCTTACAGCTTCACTGTTCAAGTTAAAACAGTGCTGATGAGTCACACTGTCTCCCTCAGGCTTCAGAACAAGTGTATATTTAACCAGGAAGAATTTGCATGTGGGGTTGTGCACTGAAGCAAGGCTGCTGCCAATACCTAACCCACTAAGTTCCAGAGCAAAGTACAAGAAAGCAGAAATCTAAACAAAGGTAAGGTCCACCATTCTGTTCCTCAAGAACCATCCCTCCCCAAGGCTGTTCTGTTACTCAATTAAAGTTGAGGTTCCACAGGTTGGTCTTTGTCCCAGGGGGAACTTGATAGATGACCACCCTTAATACGCACAATTTATAGATGCGGAAAATGCATGTACTGCCTGCACATGCTGGCTTTCTAGAGCTGCATTTTAGGGCATGCCCAAGATGCCTGGATCATGTACAAAAAAGGGTTAACAAATCCCTGCAAAGAAGACACCATCTACCTTTTCTTTTGAGATTAAATTGAGCAATCTTTTAAACGCCTGCTTTAAAGACTAAGACCACACACTTGGTATTTTCTCTTTGGTCATTTTTAATGGGGATGCTCTGAGCTAGACTTTTAATGCTAAATTCAGATATAAAACCCCAACCCTGGAACAAAATCAGGGAACTACTCAAAAAGTAGTTTCAAAAAAAAAAAAAAAAAGAATTTATGGCACTTTTCTAGATGATAAAAGTACTAAATGTTTATTGTAAAAATATTGTTGAAAACAGAAAAATAGGAAGAGAATGCAAGTCATCCATAATCTTCCCACTGAGAAATTACTCATTCAGTCTATTTGTCTGGGTATCAACAGTTGATTAAGATTAGACTACACGAGCTGGAGAAATGGCTCATTGGTTA